CCTCTTCAACGAGAAGGCGGCCAAGCTGAGGTGCCAAGTGCTCAACGTGCCCAGCATCGAGGGGCTGGACATCTCCTGGTGGAAGGAAGACGGCACCGAGCTGCCCACCAAGAGGTCCCCCCATGTCCTGGAGGCCAACGGGCTCTTCAGCGTGGTGGCCGTGGCCAACGTCTGCACCACGGACTGGGACAAGGGCGAGACGTTCACCTGCAGGGTCACCCACCCCGAGCTGCTCTTCCCTGTCGAGGCCACCCTGCAGAAGGCAACCGGTGAGTGGCCACCGGGTTGGACTGGGCCCCACTGGGCTGTAGAGGTCTACAATGGTCTATACTGGTGCTGGGGGTGGTTTGGGACTGGTCTATAGTGGTTTAGACTGGTCTAGACTGGGTTATAGTGGTCTAGATTGGTCTATAGTGGTGCTGGGACTGGTTTGGGACTGGGTTATAGTGGTTTAGACTGGTCTAGACTGGGTTATAGTGGTCTAGATTGGTCTATAGTGGTGCTGGGACTGGTTTGGGACTGGGTTATAGTGGTTTAGACTGGTCTAGACTGGGTTATAGTGGTCTAGATTGGTCTATAGTGGTGCTGGGACTGGTTTGGGACTGGGTTATAGTGGTTTAGACTGGTCTAGACTGGTCTATAGTGGTCTAGACTGGTCTATACTGGCCTATACTGGTGCTGGGAGTGGTTTGGGACTGGTCTATAGTGGTTTAGACTGGTCTAGACTGGTCTATAGTGGTCTAGACTGGTCTATACTGGCCTATACTGGTGCTGGGAGTGGTTTGGGACTGGTCTATAGTGGTTTAGACTGGTCTAGACTGGTCTATAGTGGTCTAGACTGGTCTATACTGGCCTATACTGGTGCTGGGAGTGGTTTGGGACTGGTCTATAGTGGTTTAGACTGGTCTAGACTGGGTTATAGTGGTCTATAGTGGTCTATACTGGTCTATAGTGGTACTGGGAGTGGTTTGGGACTAGTTAAGACTGGTTTATAGTGGTCTAGACTGGTAAAATGACCCAATCCCACCATTTGCTTTGGAAAATCAAGGGAAAATGACCCAATCCCACCATTTCCTTTGGAAAATCAAGGGAAAATGACCCAATCCCACTGTTTCCTTTGGAAAATCAAGGGAAAATGACCCAATCTCACCATTTCCTTTGGAAAATCAAGGGAAAATGACCTATTTCCACTGTTTCCTTTGGAAAATCAAGGGAAAATGACCCAATCCCACCATTTCCTTTGGAAAATCAAGGGAAAATGACCTATTTCCACCATTTCCTTTGGGAAATCAAGGGAAAATGACCCAATCCCACATCTCTTTGGGAAAACCCGATGGGAACGGATCCAATTCCACTCCTTCTGTCGCCAACCCAAAGGAAATGGACCCAATCCCACCGTTTCCCTCGGGAACCCCTGGAAAACTGACCCATTCCCGCCTCTCCCTTCCGCAGTGAGCGACGCCAAAGCTCCCTCCGTCTTCATCTTCCCCCCTCCATCGGAGCAGCTTTCCATGCAGGAATCTGCCACCATCACATGCCTGGTGAAGGGCTTCAACCCTCCGGACCTCTTCATCCAATGGCTCCGGAACGGGGAGCCCATTCCCTCCTCCGACTACGTGACGTTGCCGCCGGCGGCCGAATCCCACCTTCCCGCTTCCAAATCCCATCTTCCCACTTCCAAATCCCGCCTTCCCACTTCCTACTTCACCTACAGCACCTTGACGGTGCCCGGAGAGGATTGGTCCAGCGGGAATGTCTTCACGTGCCTGGTAGGACATGAGAAGATCCCAATGCAAGTGGTGCAGAGATCCGTGGATAAAGCCTCTGGTAAACCCACCGCCGTCAACGTATCCCTGGTCCTCTCGGATATTGCCAGCTCCTGCTATTGAATTCCTTAAGGAATTCCACATCCATCCCCCCCCCCACCCCCCCGATAGCGCATAAAGGGGGGAAACGGGAAGAGGAGAGGGGGGAAACGGCCCCAAACTTGAGCAATAAAACGGTGTTTCCATGGAATGATGAGAGCCAAGGGATGGGGGAGCGGAGCTGCGGCGTTCCCGGTGGGATTCCGAGGGGAACTGGAGAGGGA